AAATGGCTTGGAAAGATTTTAAGGTTTTTGAGCTTGTAGGCAAAATAAGCCAGAGACTTTTGAAGACATAAAAAGTTAATAAAATTATGTATATGCATGTTAAATTCTCTGTAAGAAGTTTTTTTGTTTGTTCGGTTTTTTTAATGATATAATTGGTATAATAAGAAATGGGATCCAGAACAGAGATGGGTTTTCCTGGACAAGGAAATTAAAACACCACCTCTTCCTCTGAACATAAGAAACTTCAAAGTAGAGAGAAACAGAGTTGAGGTAGTAGATGCCTGAAGGCTTTTCACTTTACCGGCAAATTGAAGTGACATCCTTGGCTGATGGTGAGAGGCATTGGGATGGAGCTGAAGACTCATGGAGCCTGGAGAACTCCTTGCAAGGGTTGGGAGGGAAGCAACAGGAAGCTAACTCCAGATAGATAACCATGGAGGCAGGAAGAGCCCCGATAGGGTTGCGGAGTGGGAACACTTAGCGGGTCCTGTGGTACAGCTATAACACTTTTCCTAGCAAAACTTGGCAATCCTGGAGTGAGCAGGTGGTGAGTGACCTAGAGTGAGCGTTGCCATTGGGGACACTGGCAGGTAAAAGGGCCAAGTGTTCCAAGGATGTTAGCAAGGGCAGTGCAGAGTAGCTGATGTGGGTCCAGGCTGAGCAGGACAGTGGGGAGGCCAGGAATGTGCTTGTCCTTGGTCCCGTGTGGTTATATCAGCCACTATGCCATTGACCTTCATATACTGGGTTCTTGGAAATTCCTTGTTTAGCCAAGGAAGATAATTATTTCAGCATAGGCCAAGCCACAGAATGATAGAGTGAGGGTTTGCCTGTTTTTATAGATTGTTCCTCCTCTTGCAGCTATAACTTATCTGGCTGAGCCACCAGTGGGATAGTAATGGCTCCAAAGAAATGAGTCTCCCTTCTCCTCTGGGGCCTCACCCACAGTCTGACATTCTTGGCACCAATTCCTTTCTCAGGTGGGGAGAATGTGAATTGCTTCTCCTAGAGATAACATCTTTTCTATTCAGCAAGGTCCAATCACAAGTCAGTTCTTTGATATTTCAGGTGGATTCTGGGAGCAAACTGGCCAAGGACTTAGAAAAGCTACCCCACACTCACTCCTCAAGTACAAAGGCATCCTATATGTTAGAAGTACATGCTTTATTCACTCTGTAACCACTACTTCCAGCTCTTTCAGGAGGGTGCTTTGAGAATTCAATCCTCTTGAGAAAGTGAAGAAGAGGTAATTGAAGGCAGGAATGTGTTTCCAAAAAAATGGTGTATTAGTTTCTTATGGCTGCCATAACAAAGTACCACAAACCAGGTGACTGAGAAGTTTACTGACTTCCAGTTTTGGAGGCCAGTAGACTGAGATCAGGGTGTTGTAAAAGGACCACTTCCTTCTGTTGGCATTGAAGGATCTGTTCCAGCCTTCTCTCCTTTGTTTGTAGATAGATAGCCATTTCTCGCTACTTTCCTTTTCATCATCTTCCCTTTATGCTTGTCCATGCTGGTGTGTCCAAATATCTCCCTTCTAGTAGATTAGAGTCCACCTTATCACCTCATCCTAACCTAACTAATTACATCTGCAATGACCCTATTTCCACATAAAGTTACATTCTGAGGTACTGGGGGTTAGGAATTCAACCTATGAATTTTAGGGGATAGATAATTCAATCCATGACAGATGGATTGGCATAGTCTCTTCTTTCTCTTCCCTGGCCACTTACCTCCTATAGACTTCCATTACCATCTCTGTGAGATATTGAAATTGCCTTCCTTGAATCCCTGCCTCATGTCCTTCAATCTCTAGTCCACCTTGCATATGCCTGTCTTTCTAGAATTTCTAGAATTTCCACTTCTATCATGCATCTTGATTACAAACCATCCATGGTTCTCCATTGTCTAAGGAAGTGGCTCCAAAACTTGCCAGTTTATTGGACTCATGTGGAAAGTTTAAAGGCATATACGTTCCTGGGCCCTTCTCTGATATTCTGATTTATAAAGCTGGAGTAGGGTCTCTGGCATTGAAAACAAATCTCTAGATGACTTTGATCATGGGGTCCACTGATATAAAGAAGAAATTCAAATTCTCCACACTCTGGTTGAAGTTTACTCTTCCACTTCATTATTCCAGAACCCTTTGCCTACCTACCAGCTGCCAACTTGCTGTGATGATCCTGCTCCAGTGTCATCTTCGTATTGGACACCTTAGGAGGTGCTTCCTCCTCCACCCCTCCAACTGGCTCTTGTCCTGCTCTCCTCCCACCTTTTCTTTGAAGTCTCCCACCACTCCATCCCATTGTCACCTCCCCCTTCTTCACCTCCTGTATCTTCCTGTCTATGTTACTGTCTAGGCAGAGCACTCCACCTTCTGAAGGTTCATAGGTCATAGAATCCCAGGGCTGGGAGGTCCCTGGACTTCCTATGTGTCTCAAAGGTCTTCCAAGTTCAGAAGAGGAAACTGAGTCCCCTACATGATATGTTCAGGGCCATACAGTGGTATAGCTGGGAAATGGTTCAGGGTGTGACTCCAAACAAGAGGATTGTATAAGATGCTTAGGCTTCTACATCTCCTCTCTCACTCCACACAGCCAGGCGATTGTCCGCTCTGCCAGGGAACTGGGGCAATTGTCTTCTCTGCAGAGGCTGACTGAAGAGGCCAGGGAGTTGGGGACTTGGTATGGCAGAGGGCAGAGCAAAAGCACTGTATTTAAAGAGCGATATTCCTGCCATTTCTGGGAAATGTGTAAAGAGGAAACAGCCTGTCTCAGTTGTACTCTCATGATACAGGTCATTTGAAATGAACCAAGAAATAAAACATAAAAATTCAACCATGGAAAAAAAAAATAAATAAATAAAGAGCAATATTAAGTAAAAGTTCACAAGCCGAGCAGGCTCCCCTCCTTAGAGTGCACCATCATCAGGAATACCTAAAACAGGAAACAGAGTCACTTCTATCTGGAGAAACTGACCACTCTAAGAGAAAATACTGACAGAAAGGACTAATCGACAAAATTGCTGGGTCCCCACCTAATCATCCTATAGCAAAGCAAGACCTGACGATCAGCAAGCCCTGCTCACATGCACGAACTGTTGATAAGCCTTTTCGTTTCTCACTTTCACATGTGAGTAAACAGTCATGGATCACCAGAGACCACAACAAACAAACAAAAACCAAGGGAAGTCCTAAATTCCAGAGAGAAGCATAAAAAAGAAAAATAGTTTACATACAAAGGACCAAGAGGCCGAATAACATAGGACTTTTCAACAGCAACTTGAGGAATTAAAAGACCATGGAACAATACCTTCCATATAATGAGGAGAGTAGTTTCAACTTAGATTTTTCTTACACAGGCAAACCATCCATAAAGTCTGAGAGCAGACAAATTCAGACAGGCAAAAATGCTTATCTCCTGTGCATTCACTCTCAGAAAGATTCTGGAGAATGTGAGGCTCAAAAATGATTAAACCAGGAAAGAGGAAGATTGAGATCCAGTAAATACGGGATTCGACATAGGAGAAGACATTCAGAATAATGATGGGGAAGGGAAGTTCCAGAACGGCCGTGCAGCAGGCCTCAAGAAGAAACAATCCAGTTTGTAGTAGGAGAGGTACAGGGCTCCGTGGGGAAGGAAAATAACAGATGGATCATCAGATACATTTGAATATGTGGAAAATTATATCAAGAGGCTGCTAGAGGATGTGGGAAGTAATCTTAGAAACAAAGAAGCTAAACATAAAAATACAAGAGGACAGAGGACTGCACTGAAGCATGTAGTCATGAAAAAAAAAATGAGCTGATGGGTTCCTGATTGAGAGGAGTTTTATGTGAGAATTTAGGGAATGGAATTGAGATGAAGAAAGGTAGGCAATTATTAAGTCCTGGAAAAACAGTAAGTTGTACAAGAAAGGAAATGTAATTATTGTGCACTATGTGACTCAGCTGCAAATAATAATCTATATAAAAATAATGTTGGTCCTCGCTGCTGTTGCCACTGAGACCAAGATGGTGGCAAGACTCCCTGCCCTTCTCAGGAATGCCTGGGCCAAGGAGCCAGTCCTGGTGGTGTCCTTCTTCACTGGGAGCCTCACTGTAGTTCTGCCCCCAATCAGCCCCTACTTCAAGCACTCTGTCATGATCAACGAGGCCACGTCCTACAACTACACAGTGCCTGTCTGCCATGTTGGGAGCATGCCCGAAGTACCCAGCCACCCCCAGAAACCCCAGGGGCCCAGCCTGGAGTGGCTGAAGAACCTGTGAGCACCTCCCCTGGCTCCTAATAAAAATGTGAACCCCCTCCCGCAAAATAATGTAAAGAATAAAATAAGTTTAAACAAAAATGGAAATATAACTATATTGGGAAGATTAGTGCAGGAAAATTCCGTGTGTGTGTTTCAGTTATATTCTTTCTCAGCCATAAGCTCACTTTTTTACACTCTGTGATGCTGGGACTGGAACTCTGCAAACTGCATTGCTTCCTTGCTGGCTGTCTCCATGTTAGACTCATACAGTATGGAAATTAGAGGGATGCTGCAGAGCTGGAGGAGAAAAGAACTTATGTCTTCCTGTCTGCTTACTTCTCTCTCAGTGTTCATTCATTAGTTTATTCAACAAATATTTATTTAAAGACTATCATCTGGCCCGGCACTACTCTAGGTGTTTACCTTCCAGTAGGGAAAGAGAAGTAATAAACAATATAAATAAATAAATAAATAAAGTATATGGCATTATGTGGAAAAAAGAACAAAGAGAATTAAGGGACATTGGGAGTGCATGGGTGAGGTGTATTATAATTTTATTTTATTTTAATTTTTTGAGATGGAGTCTCACTCTGTTGCCTAGGCTGGAGTACAGTGGCACAATCTTGGCTCACTTCAATCTCTGCCTCCTGGGCTCAAGTGATCTTCCCACCTCAGCCTCCCGAGTAGCTGGGACCACAGATGCCTGCCACCTGCCTGGCTAATTTTTGTATTTTTAGTAGAGACAGAGTTTTGCTATGTTGGCCAAGCTGGTCTCAAACTCCTGACCTCAGGTGATCCACCCACCTGGGCCTCCCAAAGTGCTGGAATTATAAGCGTAAGGCACCGTGCCTGGCCTATAATTTTATTTTTATTTATTTATTTTTTTGTGACGGAATCTTGCTCTGTCACCCAGGCTGGAGGGCAGTAGCACGATCTCAGCTCACTGCAACCTTCGCTTCCTGGGTTCAAACAATTCTCCTGGCTCAGCCTCCTGAGTAGCTAGGACTACAGGCACCCGCCAGCATGTCTGGCTGATTTTTGTATTTTTTATTAGAGTTGGGGTTTCACCATATTTACCAGGCTGGTCTTGAACTCCTGACCTCAGGCAATCTGACTGCTTCAGCCTCCCAAAGTGCTGGGATTACAGGTATGAGCCACTGTGCCCAGCCTATTTTTAATTGTAATTAATTATTATAATTATTTTGAGACAAAGTCTCGCTCTGTCACCTAGGCTGGAGTGCAGTGGATTGATCGTAGCTTACTGAAGACTCAGCCTCCTGGACTCAAGTGATCTCGCATCTGTCTCCCAAGTAGCTAGGACTACAAGTGTGCACCCCCATGCCTGGCTAATTGTTTATTTTCTTTTGTTGCAGAGATCCAGTCTTACTATGTTGCCTAAGCTGATCTTGAATCCCTGGCTTCAAGCAATCCTCCCACCTTAGCTTCCCAAAGTATTGGAATTACAGATGTGACCTACTGTGCTGAGCCTTATTATTTTTGACACAAAATAGATGTACGTATTTTCAGTGTACATGCAATAATTTATCACATTCCTGTAACTTGTAAAGAGCAACTCAGTGAAGTTGGAATCTCTGTCACCTTAAATATCTATCTTTTCTTTATGCTTTTCTTTCTGATCACTTTGGGTAGTATGGATATTTAACAATGTTTCTGCTAGAAGCAATTATTCTCTTACAGCTATTTTGAAATAGACCATAGATTATTGTAAACTATGGCCACTCTACTGATTTATCAAACACTTGGTCTTATTTCTTCTATCAAACTGCATATTTTTACTCATCAATCAACCTCTTTTTATCTCTCTCACCCCCTAGCTTTCCTGGCCTCTGGTAACAACCAATCTATTCTCTGTCTTCATTAGATCCACTTTTTTAGTTCCCACATATGAGTGAGAACATATGGTGCTTGTCTTTCTGTGCCTGGCTTATTTAAGAAGAACATGCTTTTGGCTTTGTGGTTTCATGGTTTGCCCATCACATTAATTTTCTGTATTGAATGACACTCTTTTGGTTGTGACAGAAACTCAACTCGAATTTATTTGTAAAAGAAATAGAAACAGGATGCCTGCTCAGATTGCGTAAGTTTGAATACCAACTCTATGTGGTCTTTGGCATATTACTTAACCTCTAAAAGCCTCTATTTCCTCATCTGGAAAATGGTACCCTGTTCTCTGGAGATTGTTATGGGAGTTGAATAAGACAAGAAATGCGCCTAGCCCATGTCAATCACTTGATACATGGTGCTAGTCTCAGCAGTAATTGAATAGTAGCGGTCACCCGAGGAGTAGAGGAAGTTGTGTTGTGAGCATGTTATTCCTAGAGGAAGTTGGACGGCAGGGAGTGAGGCAGACCTTTTCTTTCTCACATGTGCACACCCCTGTGAACTCCACCATGACCTACTGTAAGAACTGCTGGTGTAGACAGCCATCCTACTAATACCCTCCTCTACCATGAGTCACCCAGGGAGCACAAGAGGCCACGACTGACTATTTCTTGACTAATGGTCAGGCCACTACAGCCAGAGTCCAGCAGAACCTCAAACTCCATCAGCAATGAAGGGAGATTTTGCCACAGGTTGTCTGGGCAGCCAAGAGCTCTGCAGTTTGAGAGAGTGGTTTCAGATCTTCTGAGACACAAAAAGTCATGTAAGACACCTCTGAGAGTTTAGGTCTGTTCATTCTACTGAGGGTACAATCGCACATTATATTTATGTCCTATGCCCATCTTTTTGTCTTTTGTGTTTTCAAATCAAATCCATTTTGAGGGGGATATTTAACATCTAGTTAAAATAGGTTATGAAAAAACAGCCAAAGTCCAGTAAAAAACCTCTTGGGAAATGACCTTAATCTCTAGTTTGTAGATCTTCACTGCTCTTACTAAATGTTCAAAGAAGTTTTTGTTTTTTGTTTGTTTTTTTAGTGATTAGTATGCACACATGAATTAGAGAGTATTCCTAAAACCAGGAAAAAGAAAGAAAGCAGATTAGGCAGAGGGAGAACTTGGCTGTGATGCTGTCACAAAGCTCTCAGTGGATCCCATAGAGAGTGATGAAGCTAGGCTTGACTTTCAGAGTTGTGCAGAGCTGGGGTTTAAAAGATCCAGCCTCTTGCTTATAGCCATTACTGGATAGTGAATAAAAAGAAAAAAAAAAAAAGAAGGCCTGGCCTCAACAGCCCCTCACCCCAGCCTACCTAACTGGATAGACATTAGATGTTATGTTCTAAGGATCTTAATGAAATAGTTGTTGAAACATATCTGAGATGCAGTAAATTTTGGTCTGCAGAATCAAGTCAACATTGCCTCAGAATTTGTGATGAACATGTACAAATAGTCAGATCTGGCTTGAGACAGCCTAGTTTGAAAATATACACAGGTGCAGAAGGGACACGCTGTTTCTCACCAAGTCCTAGGTTAGGCGATGCCCGTGTAAGGTAATTGCTCCCCCTAGGCTCCAGGTCTGTAGACGAGGTAAAGCTGCCACTGTGTGAATAGTGGAGGCTGGCTTTGGACTTATGATCCAAGCAGACAGGTTTTTCCCAAGCATGGTTAACTGAGTCACAAATGATCACACCCTGTATAACCCATTTGTGTTTTTTTCTGACCAAAATAAAACTTTCCATTAAAACTGAACAGCAATGAAACAATTTCTAATCTCTACCTTACGCGCAATCTGCAATTTAGCACAAGATTTAAAGAGATAGAAGCATCTCTTAGGATTTTGTTTTTGTTTTTTTCCCACCCATCTGCTTCAATAACTGGAAATCTTTGTTTAATCTGATTCCAGGTCTTTCCTTGTGTTTGAGAAAACATTCAGACTGCATCTTCTGTGGCTTCTCCATGTCCCAGTTGCAACTTCAAGAACCCTGATCAGTGCCATCAAAGTTGTAATTTAAAGCCTGTGGGAGGCCCAGGCTTTCACTGTATTAGACAGTTATCAGTCCTCATTATCAAACCACTCATCCCCTTTGTTGCTCTGTATACTAGAAAAAGCAGCTTCCTGCTCCTGGTGACTTGGCAAAACACTGAATAAGAGAGAGAGATTACAGCCTTAGCAGGTGTGCACAGCAGGGTCCTTCCCAAACCCCCTCCCCTCCGGGCCTTCTCTAATCAGAAGGAGTCACTGGTTTCCCTTTTCAAAGGAGCCGGCCTACTTGGCCTTATCCCAGGGTCGAGAGTAGCTCAATGATTAAATTAAATTCAGTGTCAGAATGTAGCAGTTCTTCCTGCTGGAACATTTCCAGACTACTTCTACCACAGCCATTAATTTCTTGAAATTAATTTTTCCTTTTATCTAAGCAGTACACACATAGCTTTAAAAGTTGATGACAAAACTCTCCTGTGAAAAAGCAGCAGTCTGCTGCCTCATCCACTCCTAAACTCCTTAAGTTTTTTTCTTGCTGTTTATCTCTATTTTTATTCTATATGATATGTGCATATCATTGGTTTGAGGCATCAATTTTAAACTTTATCTTTTGGCTTTCTCATGAACTACAAGAGATATAGCTTCCTTTCTGTTTTTCACTCCCATTTCCTGCCCCTCTTTCTACAAATATAGCTGTACTGTATTGTTGCTTTGATTAAATCTAATTTCAGATTTGTTTTTATTATTCAGATTTATATTATTTTACTTCATTATAATGAAATTATATTATGTAGTCATAATAATATAATATTTTATAATATAATGTGATATTTAAATGGTCATTATAATGAAACATTGTTCATTGCAGAGCAAAGGAGTATATTATAATTCTTTATTTTTATAAACTTTTGTATAGTCTTAGTCCTTATCATTTTCTTAAATTATTTGGTTCCTTTGGGTAATATCTGAACATGATTATCCCATTGTTAAATAACTTAGCAGATAACTTTCCTGCCTCCATCCTCTTGCTTCAGGCTGACTTGCTGCTCTTGGGAACAGCTGTGCAGCATGACTCTGAGCCTTACCTTCCTCAACCTGGAAATCCCTTTTGAGTCTCACTTGTGTTTGATCTCATTTCCTGGATCCCAAATCTTTCTCTTTTTGATTTATTGACCTCTCATTTTCATGGAGCATGTTCTTAAATAACTATTCCTGAGAAAGTGTGCATGGGAGAAAAGTTTTCTG